CAGAGTTCAGTCACATGTCAGAAGCATAAACAAATAGCAAAGCACGGTTTCGTATCATCAAAAAAGGAAAAAAAAAAGGTTAATAATTATTAGTGCAGAGCCCAAATGGTTAGGAGTTGAAATTTGGTACGCAGTTAGGATACGCCATGAGAATGCACACTAAGAAGGGATTTTCCAAAATCCCCTTGCAGGGAGAGGGACAAGGTTAAGGAGAAGAACTTTCTATTGTACTATTTTAGATACACTTTTTGCATTTTTGTGGGAAGTCAAATTTATTTTTAGATCCATCTAAAAATTCTATAATTAGCCTTGGAAGAGGGAGGACTTAATTCTTGCACCTGGTGAAAACAGATAGATAACCTTTGGTTATATAGCCAATCTTATCTTATGTAAGGATTTATCACACGAAATAACCAATCTAACACGTTTTCAAAATTCTTTATTCCGCTACTATATGTAATGTAGAGAATTTTAAAAATGTGTTAGATTGGGCACTCGGTGTGATAAACTCTTACATAAGATAACCTTTGTAAATATAAATCAAATAATATAATATAGTAGAAGAGTTATAAGTATGAAATAATCTTAATCTTTTTTGTTATTTTATACCTGAGCAATGCTGGGCTCATCTGCTAGTAAGTCTATAAATTTTTGAACAAGTGAAAAAAGCCTCCAAGTAGACCTATAACTTTTTGTTTTACTTTTTAGTTAATTTATTTAATAAAACAATAACTATTAATTATTTAACTGCAATAAATAAAAACACAAACAATTTACTAAATTCTAAGAAATGAAACTTAACAATATTGAAAAAGAAAGCACAAACACAAAGTCAAAATTTTATCTTAACAACAACAAATTAATCAATAATTTTTTTATTTCCTCCTATTGCAGATTTTTATTTAAGAATAGTAGTACTTGAACATGTTTGAATGCTTCTACTTTTGTTACAAATTCAACTAGAGGCACTGTCTAAGTATAGCACAATTTTAGAGGTATTTGTAGTGTTCAAATTTATGTTATATCTGCAATCTCAAATCTTAAAAATAGTTTCTATTAATTGAGTATTTGAAGATAGGATTTGTTCATCTCTATTTTCAAATATCTTAGAGACCAACTAGAAATTGTAATTAAATTTAAACTAGAATAAACAACTCCACTAAAACCTGATACATTATATTACTAAAAGCCAACTAATGACGTATGTCATCGAGCTAGATAATGGCTATAATAATAATAAATTACAGAACAATTTGATACTAGAGGGAGGTGTTAGGCACTATCTCTTAATAAATACTATATTAGATTAACTCTTCTAAATAATTAAAATTCCAAATGTTTTCAAAATGTACTCATCATCAGGGTTGCAAATTTTAAAATGGACTATTTACAGTCTTCTAAATGCTTACAAATATAAGTGATTTCAAGATTTTTCTCTAAAATTATAGCTTTCTTATTACTCTGATAACATAAATTGACTTGCATCATCCAGAATACAATAATGTTAAATATAAAACTAAATATTACATTATTTTTGTAGACTGATTGTTAAAGATTATTCTTTCATAATTGCCAATCTGTTTAGATAAAAAATTATATATATNAATTAATATATTATTATACATTTCTGTGTGCATATGTTTGTGTTATTTAACATATAAAATATAAAGTAAATTTTTAAAATTTTTGGTCATGTGTTTCCTATCCCTATTTATCCTATGTTAAAATGGTCTCGTTTAATGTTGTTTTGCCCAGTGCTTTGTTGTCTAGGAACAAAGCACTAGGCAAAACAATACAGTAAGACCCCTGCGTTAAGCGGGGTCTTACTGTATTATTTTAAAAAGTTTATTTTATTTTTGTTACTTAAGAATTTAAAACTTTCAAACTATCTGAAAAATTATTATCAACTTTTATAATTTTAATAATAACAATAAGCTTCTATGCATTATTTTCTTCAAATCACTTAGTCTAATCTAATGTAGAGACCAGGAAAATTCTGAAATATTTATCTTTACATTTTCTTTCTGCTTAAAAAGTAAGCTGATGTTTATTATTTGTTTATAAGATTTAAATAATCTTTTTTTATTAATAGACTGACTAATTTATATCTAATCTTTGAAAATTAATTAAATTCTTTTATTATACTTAGGTGGAAATCAAAACAGGAAATATATTTTCAAATGCTACACCACCTTGGTTGTGGGAAGAAAAGAAAATTGAAAGGTTGAATAAGTTTGGTCATACTTCACAGTTTGTGATAGGTCCAACAGAACATGATTTACTAAATCACTGTAAGTACAAGAATTTTATTTAATATATTCATACAAAATTTTTAAATATTCTATTTTTGATTTTATCAGTGGCCAAAGAAAAAAAGAAGCATCTTAATCCTAATAGAGTTGGAGTAAATTTTGATCATAATGCTAAAACTTCAGCCAGTTGGTTACCTTCATTTGGACGTGTATGGAATAATAGCCGAAGATTGCAATCAAGGTAATTTGTAGTAAATTGTAATTATTTAATACCTACAGAGAAAGGAATAGATTATTTTTAATTCTAAAGATCATACATTTTTAAAAATTTTCCAAGAACTTATTACACACAGATTTATTTTGAAAAATTAAACATTCAAAGATTATTCTCTTTCTAACATATAAAAATATAAAGTTTTTGAATTAACTGCCAGATAGTATTTGCTGAAAATCATAGTGGAATGATGCTTATTAGAAAATAGTCTAGTTATTTTTTATTTGCAATCTAATTAAAATCATGTAATTTTGATCAATTAACTATGTATTAACTGTCTATGACCATTATTCTTCATTAATACGTTACATATAACTGCTATGAATGAATTGCAATTTTTGTTTTAATTACCAGTAATTCACAATTCTGAGTAATCAGAATTGTGAATTAGAGCATCTAAATAGAGAAAATTATTCTTGATGGCCAATGAACTACATTATTTAATGGAGTTTGTGGCCAAGAGCAAAGATATCATCAAATGCAAGAAAATTGACTATGTCAGCATTTCTAAGAGGGGGGAAAAACTTGGGACAACATAAGCAATGAATTCAATTCAGTGGCACAGTGTGCATTTGTAAGTATATTGTATATTATTTTTAATATTGATTATAATAAGTATGGATTTGACAATTTATATACATGTACAAGTGTAAGTATCACCACTTGTAGACATTTGCTCGAATCTCTCTTTAATTTCAAGTTTTTATATTCTCTCATGCTTTCCTTAACTGTTCTGATGTTCTCTAGCAAAACAGGGCAAACATTTTTTTTTTTTTATATTACATATTGTATAGTATATACTATGTGTATACATGGAAAAATACCTATAAGATTTATATATAAATCTGAACTTGTTGTTATACTCAATATTCAAAGATGATATACAATATATAGATTGAAATTCATTTATCCACATACTGATGTTGGGCAATCTTATCACACATACCAGATAAGACTGCCCAGCATTAGATATCCAATTTTGAAGTGGATGGGATCTTATGGGAGCAATCAGATACTTGAACACTAGATATGCAGTTGAGTATAGTCAGACAAAATCTCAGTGTTGTCCAGCTGGGAAAAATGTATTTCTATAGCAGGAAGCTATGTAGAAAAATAAATCATAATGTTTTTTTATTTTTTAATAAAACATAAACCAGTTTATATTTGATCCACCTTCGTATTTATCATGTTGTGGAATTGTTCAAAAGTGCTGCAAGAAATGGCAATGAATGGAAACTGCTTAAATTCATCTAGGATCTTACAAACACAAAGAAGAATCCTTCCTTCATTGGATTTTTGCAATTGATGAAACATGGATGAATTTGTGTAAACTGGAGCTGAAATGTCAATTAAATGAGTGGTATTGCCAGTCATCTCCATGCCTTAAGAAACTCCAACAAGAACTGGGTAAGGTGAAAGTGTTAATGATCATCACATTTGACTTGTCTCATTGTGTGCTATAGGGACAAGAGCTAATGCTAGATACTACTGCCACTTTCTTGAAATAATCTTCATCCAGCATTTTGTTGAAAAGGCCCCAATTGGATGTGATTGCATGCATTGTTGTGAAAGACAATTAGTGGAGCCATTCTTTGTCACAAGTTCAGGCATTGGGAGATACTAGAACACCCACCAAACTTACCTGATATGAGTCCATTTGATTGTGATCTTTTCCTAAAAATGAAAGAACGTTTAGAGGAAAGCACTTTTGGACATTGTCATTCTCCTAAATATTCGCTAAAAATGATTCTGTTGATGGTGGAAACTGAGGACAGTGGTCATCACATGTTTATTTGTATTATCTTGTTTTATTGCCAGGATTAATAAGTTTCAACACTATTGTCACTGAAAATAAAATAGCCCTTGTATTTTGGATAATATCCTGCTATCTGAATTCAAATCATTTTTAGGAAAGTATTAAATATCAGAATATGTTTTCCATAAGAAATAATGAAAAATTTTCCATTTCATTCTAATTCCATGAGTTCAGCATGATATTAAATATTACAAACAAGAATTATTTTAATGTCATTAAAGGTTGCATTTGTAAGTTTGTATTGTACTATACATTTATATACCATGTTTTTTTTAATATGAAGTAGACAGTAGTGGAAACATTGTAATGAACACTAAGCTAAAAACCATGCAGTATAACAAATACTGCAAATAGTTTCTCTTTCTAATTCCCACCTTTTATTAACAGAACTTTCAAATTTTTCACAAATGCAGTTTAAGGAATTCAAGTATTACAAATTTCTTTAATTTAGATATTTGAAGAATACTAAAGAACATTAGTATTGTAGCAATATATATTATCTGTTTGACTTAAACTTCAATAGAGTAAAGATTTATCAAAATAATGTATCATGTTAATGTTTGTTTTTATTTTTTACAGATATCAATATAGAAAAGAAGTATTAAATAGAGTGAAAAGACGTTATCAGAAAAAAAGACATCTCGATAAAGTAAAATAAAAACTATTTCATGTCACAAATTTAGAATCTAAACTGTTTATATCATATTGATATAAACAATTACTTTATAAAAAATTACATAATATGAATTACTTTATAAAAAAAAGATGAAAATAAAAACAAGTTTACAAAAATACCAATTTATTGGTTGATCTGTTTACCAAACAAATTAACACATTTTAAAATGACAATATAAATACATTCAATATCATAATTATCACAATTCTAATCAAATTAGACATATTTCAAAGTGGTATTTATCAAATTTAGACACATTTGTCAAAGTGTAGAACAAAATGTTTTCTCAAAGTACCAAATACATATTCAATCATTATATATATATATAGGCTATACATTATCACATGTTAATTTTAGTTATGAAAACTTATTTCAGAATTTCTACAAAAACTTAAATTGTTTCTTTGATGCTAAAATAATAATAAATTTTCATAACAGAAATATTTCTTTATTCATATAACACCAAATATTGATTTCAGTCTTCTCACTATGACTGTACCTGACAACAATTAGTGTGCTATTAACATTTTACAAGACATTTTTACAATCAATTTTTTTTTTGTTTTTTAATCAACAGTTCCAATAATTTTTTTTATTCTAAAACAACAATATAGTGCAAATTATTTTTTAACACTGTATTACTATTATTTATTAATCTGTACACTAACACCACTAAATTAACAAACACTTTTTAAACTTCCATATATTTTTGATGATTTTCACTCTGCATTTGTGGTGGAAATTTGCATGGTACTATTCAATATAACTGCATAATTTTTATTTCTAATATAATAATAAAATGAAATGAATTTTTTTTCCTCTATCATTTTGACAAGCATACATCCTGAAGTAACTTTATAAATGATAAAATTCATAGAGATTTAAATTTTGTTAAAGATTCCTATTCTCTAGTATTCTGTTGTCTTTTATACTTTTCTCCATGACTCTTCATGAAAAAAAATAAAAGAAAATTGATGTACACACAAAATAAACACTCACAAGAATTTTTTGATATTGTATAAACACTGACAAGGAACAATTGACACTAATTTTGAGTCTATCTCTCTGAGTTTTCCTTTCTTAACATGTATGCAGTTTAGGTAAAATATCTATATTTATCATTATCTTAAATATATAGAAATTGCATTATAAAAGTTATACTAACACTAATTACCTTTCTCTATTAGAGCCATAAAATTAATTGTATGATCAAATTTGATATTTTTTTTATTTAAAAGTTTGATATTTTCAGTTAATTTAAATTGTAAATAAGTCTGAATATACAAGAAGCAAATAATATATATATATATATATTATTT